CAAAAAATAAGCAAAGCAAAATATAAACATGTAAATTTACAGAGGTTAACCCTTTTGTTTTCCCCTTGAGTGGCTTCCTTGTCAGTGAACTGCCAAAGCTCCCCGAAGCGCAGTCACTCGGGTCTAGCACTTTCAGGTGGGCTAAAAAAGAGCCCCAAAGGAAGTGGTTCTTGAAGAAGGATTTAGATGGCTTCATTGATAAAAAAAAAAAAAGAATGGAAAGAATGGAGGGGAGATTTTGCCCTTGTAACAACATATTATGCAGAGTATATGAATACAGGAACTGGGGCTTCAACACAAAATAGAGTAAAATGGCCTGGTTTTCATGTGCTGAAGGATAACCAGTACGACAGTCCCTTTACAGTGAAGAATTTCATCCAAGGAGACTCGTGGATTCCATCCATTGGTGTGCCATTTTGGCCTAAAATTTAAATCCCCAGTTGGTGTTAGAGAATGTTTGGCCTAGCTGCAGTTAAATAACAAAAAGTCCATTGCAATTTAGCAATGGAAAACATTGAATTGAAAATATTATGTATAAAAATCCAACACATTCAAAACATTAACATTGCCTTCAAAATAAACCATTCCATGCACTGCATAGACTGCCCACTAGTCTTCTAATCTAATCTTCTATCTTCTAACTATATTATAAGAGTGGGTTTTGGGTTACTGTCCACAAGCTAATTGGCCATCTAAGTCGAGGCGAGTTGAGTGAGCCGTGTTAGCCGAGCCATTTGGAAGAGTGCTATCAGCTGTGGTTTCAGAACATTCACATGACAACAATCATTTTCATTTCTCTTTCTTCTCTGTTATTTTTTTTTTTTTCCCTAACCCATGCTCTTTACTCCACTTCCCCCATTTCACAGCTTGTGATTTCGAACAACACTTCACCACGGGTGATTACGAAATTCCACGACGATTCAATTCGAGCTTCCATTCGACCCTTGGTTTCACTCGACCTCTCTACAATTTCACTGATGTAAGTTTCTACTTTCCTTTTTTTTAATTCAATTTTAAAGACGAAAATACTGATTTCAAGGTGATGATGTTACTTCTATTTGGTAGGAGGTATGAAGCAGGGTTCCTGGGGTTCTGCTAAAAATCGGCCGCCTACTAAAGAAGAAAAACCGGTGACCTCCTTTTGATTTTCGAACTTTTCTCTTGCCTATTATCATTGTTTTTTCTTGCCTTTGTGACCTCCAAATCATCACCGTGTCCATTGTAGGTGAGATTGAGGAGCAATTGAGATGAATATATTAATTGTGGGTTTGAGAAATTTGGATTGATTGTTTGATAGAGATAGGTAACGTGAAATTGAACTCGAAAATCACC